ATCTGGGGATGGATGCTGATACAGCCGATGAGATTGCCAAAAAAGTTAACGTCATATTATCTGCTGCCATACAAACTGGCATGAAAGGTTTATACACAATCACATTCCTTTGTCATATATATATATAGTCACAATTCTTGATTATATATGATTATAATACAGGTATGACATTGCTCTAAACACGAACACTATAGGACCTTCTCGTCTCCTACGCTTCGCAAAGAAATGCACAAAACTTAGTCTTTTTTTGCACGTATCAACTGGTATGTGAAATAGATGTTACATTAGTACTTACTCAAGTCCTACTTATACCTGTATATATGTACATTTACTTCAACTAATGTTTCAAAATTGTTGCAGCATATGTTAATGGAGATAGGCAAGGGAGAAGCATGGAGAAACCTCTCTTGATGGGTCAAAGCATTGCTGCAGAGAGATCATTCTGTTCGGAAGATCATGTCCCCGAACTGAACGTAGATGCTGAAGTAGAATTAGCTTCGACATTAGCTGAAACATTTCATGTAAAGGAAGTAAATCAAAAGATGAAGGATCTGGGTTTGCAAAGGTGACAATTTTTTTTTAAATTATGACTATTTACTTTGTTAATTACAATTAATTAGTTATAATGATGAAATTAGAGCAAGAATGTTTGGATGGAAAAACACATATCAATTCACAAAAGCTATGGCAGAGATGGTGATATCAGAGTCGAGAGAGCAGATACCAGTAGTCATAATTCGTCCCAGTGCCATTGAGAGCACTTATAAAGAACCATTTCCTGGTTGGATTCAAGGGAATAAGTATGTACACACATACATATATATTTTTCAATTTGTTTCTTGCTTTTCTTAACATTAATTAGTTAATATTAAACTTGTCAATTTACTACGAGTTAACAAATTCGGTTTCCTCTGATCTGAATATATATATATATATATATATATATCAGAGTTCTAGATCCATTGATTTTGCAGTATGGGAAAGGCAACCTACCAGTCCTTGTTGGAGATTGCCAAGCGGTTATAGATGTTGTAAGATCATATTCAAATTTTGTCCTTCAGTTGATAAATTACTATCAATTTGGATTTTATTAAATGCCAATTTTTATATTTATATTCTATTTTGTTAAGAATAATTTTTTAATTAATATATCTTTCATGAATATTATAACTCTATATGTTCATGTTTTGAATCAGGAAAAAAGAAATATACACTTAATACAATTAATTACAAAATATATATTTTTCTCTTTTAACCTGATTTGTTTCTATTTTAACACCGTTATTTATTTTTTCTCTAACAGTCTGATTTATTTTTTTTTAATATTTTTTAACATCTTAATTTATTTCTTTTTTAATACCACGATTTTCTTCCTATTTAACACTTTTCTTAAAATTTAGAAATAAATAAAATTCATTCTCAACTTACCGATAAGAGTTTGGAATGTTGGATTGTTGGATTGTTTTATGGTTAACTTGTTTATAAGTTGAGAATAGTAGACATGTATGATGTACATATTAAGCCGTTGTCAATGTTTTTTAATAAAATGTCTATA